AACCCTGCTGTCTTTCAGTCTTGTTAAGAAAATGAAATGACAAGTTCCAGGCTCGGAGAAAATATTTACAGACCAAGAAACGATAAAGGACTTGCATCCAGAATATAGAAAGCCTTACCAAAAGTTAGTAAGAGGGAGGAAATAACTTAGGGCTGGGAGTTGTAGTTAGAAGAACATATGCCCAATATTTAAGAAATAAAATGGCAGTGGAAGGGCAAAAAACTTGAACAGGCCCTTTGCCTAAGAAGATAATGTGCTGGAGAGAGGGTTCAGCGATTGGGAGCACTGGCTGCTCTTGCAGAAGACCCTAGTTAGATGCCCAGCATCCACATGGCAATTGTCCCTTACTTCAGGTTCAAAGATCTGACAGCCTTTTCTGACCTCTGTGGGCACTGCACGACATAGATACACTTATATACATACAGACAATACACTCATACACATAAATAAAAATTAAAAAAATATTTTTAAAGAAGATATACGGGAAGCTGGGGAGATGGATCTGTGGGTAAGAGCACTTGCTGTGCAAGCATGAGGACCTGAGTTTGAATTCCCAGCACCAAAGTAAAAAGCCTACATGCACCTGTAACCCCAGCACTGTGTGTGTGTATGGCGGTTGGTTAGAGTCAGAGGGCTCTCTGGGGCTTACTGGCTGTCAGCCTAGTTCCAGGTTCAGTGAGAGACCCCGAATCAAGAAAATAAGGCAGAGGGTGACAGAAAAGGACACCAAAAGTCTTCTTTGGGCTATACATATGTACACATGCCTCTCCACTTTTTAAAAAAGAAGATATTAATAAATGGATGGTGAACATGCATATTGAAAAGAGGCTCACCAGAATTAGCCATTAGGGAAATTCGAATTAAAATCATAAGATGTCTCTACACACTCATTAGAATTTCCAAAATTAAAAAGTATTGGCAAGGATGTGCAGGAACTGTTCTCAGACACGGTTGGTTGCAGGACAAAGTGGTTAACTTTCCAAAATAGTTTGGCAGTTTCCTAAAAAGTTAAACGTATATTTTCCAGATGACTTAGCCTTCCTGGCTCATATATTTATCCCTGATAAGTCAGAGCATATGCCTACATATGGACATTATCTATACCTATACATAAAAGCTTTAGGGGAGAAAGATTACCTTTTCCATTTATTTTATATTGACAAAAATATGTCATGTATGCCATGTTTTGAAATATGTGTGCTCTGTGGAATGACCTATTAAATGTTAATAGAGGCATTTCTTCACGATTTTTTTGTTTGCTTTTAAGACAGGGTTTCACTATATAGTTCTCGCTGGTCTGGAATTCTCTATGTAGACCAGAGTGGCCTCCAATTCAACAGAGATCCCCTTGCCTCTTTTCCCTGAGTGCTGGGATTAATGGCATGCACCACTGCATGCCTGGCTTCTTCATATATTTTTGGAGAGGCATAATGTGAAATACAGTTGGACAGTTGTCCCATGGTATCCACAAGAGATTAGTTTCAGAAGCATGCCATCCTAATATACCCAAATCTGCAGCTGGAAAGGTATCTATAAAATAACATGCTACATTTACATGATGACACCTGTTGAAAATGGTATTATCATAAGGTTCTATTTTTATGTTTAAAACCTTCCTCACATGCTAAAAACTAAGAATTAAAACCTGTAATTAAAAAAGAGTAAATATGCTCCTTGGATGGAATATTACAGAACTCCTACTCAGTGGGTCTCAGTGTATTTGACAGGTAGGAATGTTGGAGAGAAGCGAGCGGCGTGGATGGAGAGCACGAGCGGATGGATGAGGCACCGAGGCACAGATGGAATTCTCAGCAGGATACAGATTTATTTCGCACGGGGCACCTTTCCCTTGGGGAAGGGAAAGATGTCAGCGAAGGGAAAGATGTCAGGGAAGGGAAGGGAAGGGAAAGATATCAGGGAAAGATGTCCGCCCACGGGTTGTGAGCTGGGACTTTATATATGTGGGCTTTAGGGTGTGGAAGGGGGGAATGTTCGGGGGAGAGATCAGGGAGTGGGAAGCAGGAAAAGCCTGGCTCAGTCTGCCAGGTAGGATTAGTGTGTGGAAGTAAATCTGCTTATCTTATCTTTGGAGGTCAGAGGAAAGGCAGGCTGCTTCTCAGCAGAGTTTGTTCTTCTTGACCTCAAAGGTCAAGGTGCTTATCAGCTAAGTTCCCTTTTCCGGGCTCCAAAGTCTGTAGGTCCCTGTTGGGGAGGGGGGAAGCTGCTGCTATTTGGAACCCTAACAGTATTGTACTGTGGAAAGAAAGCTAAGCCACATGAAGTGAGAGCAAATTGGAAGAGATTATGTAGAATGTGACTCTATTCACATAGAGACTAAAATGACCATTTACATATATGTACATTTGCAGGTTCCTGCCCTTTTACTGTTTTTTTTTTTTTCATGTCTTTAGGCTGAGACTCCAAGGCAAGCCCTCAGGGAACATTTTTTTCAGTTTTCCAAACGACAAGCATGAACATGTACTAATTATAGAAATCAACGGGACCCTTTGTGCTGTTTCAGGGCATGCACACCCTGTGCAATCACCTCCCACCTTTCCTCTGCTCTGACCACCCTCCCCTTTCTCCCTTTCCTTCAACACTCTTTCCAGTGCCTAAAAATTCCTTTTCTACTTTCTGGTTGTCTTTTTTCAAGTTCCTACATATGAGAGAAAACATGAAATGCCTGTCTATGTCTGACTTATTGTGTTTAACAGGATGTTATCTAATTCTATCCATTTTCCTGAAACTGGCAGGATTTCATTCTTCTTTATAGTTGAATAGTCCATATATATATCTATATACATATATGTCAGATAAGAAACATTACATACATATATATATGTATATGTAATGTTTTCTTTACTCATCTGATTCCAATAAACATGGATACACAGGTATCTCATTACCTGCCAACTTCAGTTCCTTTAAATATATACCCGAGAGCTGGGAGTGGTAGCATATGCATTTAATCCCAGTACCCAGGAGGCAGAGGCAGGCAGCTTTTTGTGAGACGGAAGGCAGCCTGGTCTACATAGTGAGTTCCAGGCCAGCTAAGGCTACAAGGACACCCTGTCTCAAAAACAAAGAAACTGAAAAGTAAATAATAGAAGCAAGTTGAACAAATACAAAAGCTTCCATCTATGTATTTCTTTGTACACACACACACACACACACACACACACACACACAAGGATACCTGCACAATCATTCATGGTGGTTAGCCCTAGGGAATGGGAATGGAGCACTGGAAAGAGGTGTACTTTCACCTCAGTTTGCATAGGCCTGTTAACTGCAATGAAAGACAGTAAACATTCACTTAAGGTTTGTTAAATCTCAAAAACAAGGTTCTTTAGCACTTTAAAAATATCTATTTCACGTGTATCAGTGTTCTACCTGCATGTGCGTAAGTGCACCACATGAGTGCCTGTCTGAGGAGGCCAGAAGATGTTGGCTTCCCTGGAACTGGAATTACAGTTGGTTGTGAACCAAATCTGGGTCTTCTGCAAGAGCAGCCAGTGTGCTCTGAACCACTGAGCAGTTTCTCCAGCACCAGCACAGTTTTTGTTGTTGTTTTGAATCCCTTGATTCCATGAGCTCATTGTCAGCCAAGGTGCCCGAAATGTTAATACAACAAATATGTTTACATTAGCAATGGCTCCCAAATGGTTTAGGCACTGCAGAGCTACATTCCTATAATGATTCAGAATCTAAAAAGAAATTACCAAATAGTTCCAACTTTTACTTGCACTGGACTCAAACAACATTCATGAGGTGAAGAGGGAAGCAGCACTAGGCCCTGTTCAAAAATCGACACGGATTTTTTTTTTTTTTCCAAATTTAGGATTTTGTCAATAAGGTGTATTATATCTGATCATCTCCATTATATTACATCTGGAGAGACAGTTGGGCCATTTTTAACACTATTTTTATTCCTCACAATTATTTATATATTTAATATACATATTTTTTAAATTTTATGTGTGAGTGTACTGCCTGTATATATGTGAGTGAACTCATGTCGTGCAATGCCTGAGAGGTCATAAGAGGGTATCGGATTCCCCCGGAACTGCAGTTAAGGTCCGTTTGTAGCTGTCATGTGAGTGCTGTGAACCAAACCCGGGTCCTCTGTAAGGGCAGTCAATGCTCTTAACCACTGAACCATCTCTCCAGAGCCCCTCACAATAATTCTTAATTTTGCTTGGTATGCTGAGGTTAAAAAAAAAAAAAAGGTTATTAGCATTGCTGTTATAAAGCAACAGGGCTGAGGGCCTGCAGGAGACCTGTGTGTCAGGATGTAGTTTAAAATGCTAATTCCCAGATTCCAATGAAGGCCCATGCATTTCCTAAAAGTCACATGCCTTCATGTGGAATGACAAAGATGAACTGTACTGTCTCCTTTTCTGCACATCCTTCGGCTATTGGAACGATGCTCCTTGGAGACTGACTCAGTCCCTCTTGGTCCTCCAAATGATCTTTCGATGAGCACTTCGACTTTAGAGTTGCATCCTCAGAAATGAGCTATACAAACATGGCCGAGTAAGCGGCAAGTAGCAATATTTTTTCACTGTACAAATAACCCCTAGTCCACTCGGTCTCTGAAGCCTTAACTTTGGGGAAACGACTAACTGGGACCAAGCCTTCAAGCAGATCAAATCCTGGGGTGATTATGCCTTTTTGGAGGCCTGTAGGGCACCAGAAAAATCGAGAAAAGAGTAGCCGGTTTTCTGGCTCCCGTCCCACCCGCGAATCTCCACGTCCAGCACACTGAAGAATCGATGTCGCCATCTTCCAGGGTGGGCTGCGTAGGCTGCTGGTCGCGCGCCCGCCAGCGAAGACGTGGAAGGCGGCGAGCACGCTACAAAGGGAAAGCACGCCTGCGCTCGGGCGACCGCGGCAGAGGGGTGAGGCCAAGGAACGCGAGCGCGCGTGCGCAGTACGAGCCCGCCAAGTACCTGAAGGCGTTGGGGGTGAGGTAGCAAGGCATCGGGTCGAAGAGCGCTTGCGCAAGAGCGCGACTGTGCGAGAAATGGGGCGGAGCACAGCACGCTTACGAGGACGGGAGTAGAGAAGCTCTCGCGAGATCTTCAAAGGCCATATATAGGTGCGGCGAGCCCCCGTCCTTTCCCTGGCGAGATTCCGTCCTGTGCGTCTGTTGTGAGGGGCTGTAGTCAGTTATCTCCTTCCGGACTCTCTCACGGCGAAGTGAGAGCCTTTGCCTCATGGAAGACTCGATGGACATGGACATGAGCCCTCTGAGGCCCCAGAACTATCTTTTCGGTTAGCGGCCTGGGTGGGAGGGATGAACTGGGGCCTGGAGGTGGGGGGGGGCGGAGGCCAGCCGAGGCCTGGACCGTGGAGAAGACGGCGCGGGTTTAGGCCCAAGCTGGGGGAGGCCCTGGAAGCCGTCCTGCAGACTCCGGGAGCGGGAAGCCGGGGCCTGGGGGTCCGGGCTGGACGGTACCGAGTGTCGCGGGTGCTGAGGGAGGGCGGCCGCGGCTGCGATGGTGGCTGTGGTGGCGGCCGGCCCTGTGGGGCGGCTGGGCATATGGAGAGGCTTCTCGGTATGTGGGAGTGTGCAGGGCTCGGTTCCCAGGCTGCCGCTTGTTAGTTCCGGGTTACCCGAGAGGGTGTGTAGTGTGGTGCCACAAGTGGGTCGCCTTGCTGAGAGCAGGAGGGTCGAGTCTGCTCCACGTTGGGTCCTCTTCAGGCTCGGGCTCTGCCGCCCACTCGCATCCCGAGGGCCTCGGCTAGGGAGGCCCGAGAAGGCGCGGCCCCCTTGGCTGCTACCGCCGGGAGCACGTGGTTGCCACGTGGTTGGGGGTAGGGAGGGGGTGTGGGCTCTACATCCGGGCTCCCGGCCCACCGGTGTGGTCTCAAACCAGAGCCTGGGTTGAGGTGGCTGGGTTGAGTGTTTGGCGCTCAGTACTGAGTGAAGTGGCCGGTAGGCAGCGCGAGGGCTCTTAAAGGTCTTTGTTCAGCGCCTACCACGTTCACCGTGATGGGAGGGATTTTAGAGCCCGGTTTTCTCACTGGGAGGTGGAGTCACCCCCACGAGGTAGGTAGTGACTTGAATGTTAGGAGGTGCTGCTAAATCTTAAGCGATGGCCCCGGGCCCGGGAGTGGAGGCTACTTAACCACCTGCAGTGCTCGCAGATTGAGCGTTCAGATTGTAGCTTGACCTGAGCTTGGGGATCTACTCAGACTTCACACGGTGTTACAGTTGGAAAGAGTCTGACTTTGGATTTTCAATGCCCCAAGTTTTATCTTGGTTAACCATGCTGAGAGCTATACCGGTAACTCTGGAATGGTCACTACATTTTTAAAGACTTAAAGTTCTGATAGTATTTAAAACAAATATTTTCAGTCATGGAATAGGAGTGCACACTAAACCGGGAGACTTTATACCTAGTTGTTCTGGGTAGTTTAACTTTTACCTATTCTGTAGGAAAGATCCCATGGGTCTGTCATAAATAATTTTCAGGCCTTCCAGAATGGGAGTATTGGCTTCTGTAACAAACTTGGGTGTTTTGATGGATTTGTAGTTTTATAAGCTGTCCCTGAACTGGTGGTGTCCATTCTCGTTTGTAGTACTCACTTGCTTGAGTTTAGCATCATCAGCTAAGCTTTTTAAAGCAATGGGGAGGGAATATTGTACTAGGTTTGCTTTCAGCTATTACATCCGGCAGCTCTAGTTTGAAGTCATTGAGTGTGGGCTGCAGAATGGTGTCTCTTTGTAATTGAAGGAAATATTAGGAGGAAATAGAACTTAGTATTTTATAGTTTTTCCAGGAGAGATTGATTTAGGGAGAGCTTTCTGTAACTAATGCACAAGTTGGTCATTTTGCTTATGGTTAAGTTTTGATATTCTCCTTGCTAGATTTGCTTTTTCTTTTTACAGGCTGTGAACTAAAGGCTGACAAAGACTATCACTTTAAGGTGGATAATGATGAAAATGAACACCAGCTATCATTAAGAACGGTATTTATATTTTTGAAGTAAACTACTTTGCCTTTCTTGATTTCAGCCTCCCTTTTCTTTTGCTTCCTTAACTGCTGGTAAGATAGTATTTTTACAACTGAGTATGATATATACCTCATTTGTATATCGATAACAGAACTGGTCATCTTTGTCACTTAATCTTGCAAAGCAGTCCCATCTTTTTAAACTTTTAAAATTTATTGTTTGTATTTTATGTGTATGTGTGTATTGTCTGCATTGTAGGTAAGTGCACCCGTGTCGTGCAATGCCCTTGGAGATCAGAAGAAGCTGTTGGATCCCCTGGGACTGGAGTTACAGTTGTTAGCTGGCATGTGGGTGTTGGGATTCGAACCTGGGTCTTCTGCGAGAACAACCAGTGTTCTTAACTGCTAAGCTCTTCTCTCCAGCCCCAGCAGTCACATTTTCCGTCAGTTGCATTATGAAGCTTTACAGGGCAGTGATCTTTGTCTTCCACAGAGCCTTATTAACAGAACCCAACGCTCAGCCTTATCAGTTGCCAAGTTGATCTTACAGGTCCCTACTGAGTGCATTTTTACACATTTCTCAAGTTTACTAAATATGAGAACATCCACTGATAGATACAAGGCTTAGTTTTAAAGCAGGTTTTGAGGGGTGATCATAACACTGGTACTTGAAGTACTTTTTCTTTTTTTTGTTCACAGGTCAGTTTAGGAGCTGGTGCAAAAGATGAGTTACACATTGTTGAAGCAGAGGCAATGAATTATGAAGGCAGTCCAATTAAAGTAACACTGGCAACTTTGAAAATGTCTGTACAACCAACAGTAAGTATGCCTTTAAGCTTGGATTGTTTGCATCTTTGTTTCTTGAGATAGTGTCTCCCTGTAGGTCCAGAATGTGCATCAGGCAGGCCTCAATATCAGATCCACCTATTTCTGCTAGGTGTGTACCATTACTTTCTTACAGTTCTTTTTAATTTAAAATATTTTTGAGCAAGTGGCTAACTCTTGATTCTGTTCCTTCTCTGAGTAGGTTCATTGATTTGATTGTATAGCTTTGCCAGTAATCTGTTTCTTCACAATGTTTAATAAAAATTTTTCACTTTTAGGTTTCCCTTGGGGGATTTGAAATTACACCACCTGTTGTCTTAAGGTTGAAGTGTGGTTCAGGGCCTGTACATATTAGTGGACAGCACTTAGTAGGTATGCTTTTTTTAATACTACGGCATTTACTGTGTTGGTTAGTTTTCAGTTCGGACTGACTTTTCCTTAATATTTTCTCCTGGATTTATTTGTGATTGTGTTGAGGGGTGTATGGCATGCCTGCATGTGGAAATCTGACACCTTGCCAGAGTGTGTTGCCCATGTAGGATCCTTGGGATCAAACATGGATTGGCAGCAAGGGCTTTTTAATCTATTAAACTATCTCCCTAGTGACCCCCCCCCCACCACCAATTTGGATTTTCTAAGCATGTTTTAGCTCTAGTTGTATTGAAATGTTATGAGAATCTGGCTGTTTATATCTTGAAAGGCCTGGTTTGTTTCTAAAACATCAGTGACCATTAGCTTAGAATCCTACAGTTAGTTGTCTGGTCCCCATTTGCTGTTTTTAATAGAATTAATCTTTTTAAAAAATACTCTTACATGTATGGGAGTATTGCCTGCTTGAATGTGCACCCCATATCATGCAATGCCCACTGAAGTCAGAAGAGTGTTGGATTCCTTGGAACTTTTAGCCTCTGTGTGGGTGCTGGGTTAAACAAGAGTACTAATAATTTTTTGAGTTGTTAGAATTTTATAGTGTTTTTTTTTTTTTTTTTTACTTCAGCTGTGGAGGAAGATGCAGAGTCAGAAGATGAAGAGGAGGAGGATGTAAAACTCTTAAGTATATCTGGAAAGCGGTCTGCCCCTGGAGGTGGTAGCAAGGTTCCACAGGTAGAGATGAGTTATGTTTCTAGCCTTCAGTTTGGTTATACAGCTAGACTCCTGCTCATGAGGATATATTTTCCTTTAAGAAAAAAGTAAAACTTGCTGATGAAGATGATGAGGATGAAGATGAAGATGAGGATGAGGATGAAGAGTAAGTACCATGCTCCTAGAAACTTGACATGATATACATTTCAAAGGGTTTTAGAAAAAAATTGATTTTTGTCAGTTCTGTAATTGATACCATAAATGATCAGTGGTGATGGAAACTTTAGTGAATGTATTTTTGTACCTATGAAGAATTTGGCCTATGATTCTTAATTTCCTTACTCAAAATGCAACATTGCTCTTTCTTGGGAATTTAGAATTTTGGAAATAAGATCTGATAGACATCGCATACCTGTAATCCCCAGCACTTGGGGTCGGAGACAGGTGGATGGATATCTTGAGTTTAAGGCCAGTTAGGGCTACAGGGGAGACCCTGTCTCAAAGATGAAAAAAATTTTGATGTTAAGCTATGTCAAAAAACAGCTACATGTGTACTGTGGAGTTATGTTAATATGTAAGTTATACAATATAAGTATCTAATACCTTGTATTGTCTAGTTTTCTCCCAAATACTGAAAATGGTAAAGTATTTATTGAAAACATCTGAGATAAAAGTATGGAGTTCACGCCAGCCTGGTCTGCATAGTTCCAGGACAGCTGGGGCTACAGGGAGATCCTGTCAAAAAAAAAAAGTACAAAGACTTGAGAAAATATGTACTAAATTGCAAATCTATTAGGGTTTGAATTCTTAAAATTTGAAAATTCTTTACATAAAAAGCTTAGAACCAGTGTTTTCAGTGCTCTTACTCTAAGATTATTTGCCATTAATAAGAAAATAAACATACCCAGAGGAATGGCAAACAGGCATGACTGATTATAGTGTGATAATACTAAATTATAGTTAACGTTTGTGTCTTAATAGCATAGCTGAACATTGAGGAGATGAAGAGCTGTCCCTTGCAGGAAAGCAAAACTTTGACACTGGTCTTGATTGGTATCCACAGTCTTGGGGTTTGGAATTACAGAAGGATGGATGGTGTGCACAATGTACAGTAAGGGACAGTTAATAAATAGGTTCCTTGAGGTAAACAAATTTAAAAGTAGTTTCACTACTGAGATGGTAATTGCACAGCATAGACTTTGAATGAAAGTGACAAGGTGAGTTAAGTTGTTAAATTGGACATCTAAGCCATGTTCCAGAAGTCCTGGAGCTCAACAAGATAAAAGAGAAATCAATAATAAGTGTTCATAGAGTGGAAAGTGGATGATAAGGGATTAGTTGACTATTAATGTAGAAAAGTTACACTTAACTGTAAGACAAAGTAAATGGAAAATGTGTGGCTCTCTTAAATACTTGTGTTTACATGTCTTTCTGCATATGAATTCATGGATCAGAAATACTACGTGTGTATTAAACATACTTTCTTTTCTCTTAGTGGTTTACAGTAAATTTAGGGGGAGATATGGCAAAAGTGTATGAGTAGATAGGAGTGGAAGAGAATAACACATTCTTAACTTAAAAAAATATTGCATGTTTTGCCTGCAGAGGCCAAAAAAGGGTGTTGGATCCCCTGGAACTGTAATTAAAGATGCTGTAGATGGCATGTGAGTGTTGGGAGTTAACAACTTTCTGTCTTGCAGTATATCACAAAAATTTTGATCAATGACACAGCATATACAATGGTCCCATAAGGTTATATTGCCCGATGACATGACCATCTTAGTATGCTGCCTTGGTCAGAGGGATGAAATCACTTAAGAGCATGTTCCTCAGAATGAATAATTTGTAGGTGATGTACCTTATTAACATACAATGTATTTAAAATTTGTTAAGAGAATGTCCTGAAAGATAAAGCTATTGTAAGACAGCAGTTTTACAAAAATTATCTTATTTCTGGTGTGGAGAAAGCACTTCTCAGGATTGGGTTCTAAGGCCACAGTCAACACTTTAACAAAAAGCAGCCACAAAAGTGGCTGGAGGGAAGGCTCAGCACTATCTCTTGAGCACTATCTTGCAGAGTACATGGATTCTATCACCAGTAACCCACATGGCTTGTGATACCAGTCTATAACTCCAGTGTCAGGTGATGTGACACCCCCATCAGGTCTCCATAGGCATTGTGTGCATGTAGTGCACTTAAGTGCAGGGAAAACACCCATACATTTGAGAAAAAAAATCTAAAATCACCACAAAAGAATTGGATTTATATTGGACTTTATCGTCGTGGTATCCTAATGACAGAATTAGCCCCACTACTGGAGTTATCTGTGCTATTGGATTTAATAAAAATAGTGTTGAAAATAAGTTGTGGCCAGTACGTTGAGTTTGAGGATTAAATTGAAATCTGAATTTTTTGGTTGTTTGGAGGCGGGGTCTCCCTGTAGCTTCAGCTGGCCTGGAACGATGTAGCCCAAGCTGACCTTGAACTCAAAAGATATGCGCCTGCTTCTGCCTCCTGAGTGCTGGGATAAAAGGCATGCGTGCGTCATCACGCCCAGCAAATCTGAATAGTTTTAATTTTTAATGTATGTTTAAGTGGTCTTCAGTAATTTGATTCTCTTGGGAGAAGCATTCCATTTAAAATATAAAATAGGCCTGAAGAACATTTTATATCTTCCTCTTGAAAAGAATTATAAGAAAGTACCGTGTGGATCCAGATCGAAATCTCAGGTCTAGAATATAAAAGTGAAAATCAGCAGCATCCTTTTTCATGGATCTTAACCCTCAAGTTGTTGGAAATTGGATTGTTCTGTTAATTGCGATCTGGCAGCTTAATTCCAATGGCACATGTTTAGGAGTGCCAGTAAGCCTCCCTGCCAAGTAGTGCGTACATATATTTGAATGAGAGAAATACATAAGCAGAAGGAAGAGGAGTTTGACAGATTCAAGAGAAACATAGTCCATGGTGGTAGAAGCATAAAATTTACTGGTTGTGCAGTCATTCCTGAGTTTAAAAAAACGATTTCATCACTTCTAAAAGGTAATATCCTGTAGTTTAATCACCTCTCCATGTTCCTTAAGTTCTAGCATGTAGATGATGCTTTATTGAGTTTGCCGGGTTATCAAGGGTTGCTTTATTTTGGATGTTAGAAACATGTATAAAATTGATAGTGTAGTGTCTAGCCTTTTTTTTTTGAGTCATAGTTGATCTGGAATTCACTATGTAGATCAGGCTGGCCTCCTGCCTCCCAAGTGCTGGGACTAAAGACATGTGCCATCATGCCTGTCATGTGACTTTCTGTTGTGCATAGAATTTATTTGGTACACCTATTACAATAAATTGACCCAAAACAGTTCATATAGTTAGCCACCTGCACTCTGTCTGAAATGATGGACAGGTTGAGCATTCTTAATCTGAAAGTCCAAAATTTTAAAAGGCTTTTAGAACCAAAACCTTCAGAGTGCTAACATAACTTGGAAAACAGAAAGTTCCAGACCCAGTGGCAGGTCACAGGCAAATGTGAGTGCACTAAATTAAATTTGTCGGGTGTGGGGCACATGCTTTTAATCCTAGCACTCGGGGGCAGAGGCAGGTGGAACTCTTGAGTTCGAGGCCATCCTGGTTTACATGGTGTGTTCCAGGCCAGCTGGAACTACAGGGAGACCCTGTCTCAAAAAGACCTCTAAATAAAAATAAATAAATATATCTTCAGGTTATGTATATAAGGTTTACAGAGATTTCCCCAAGATATTTCACTGTGTATATGCAAATCTGAAATTTGGGAAAAACAAACGTTTCTGGTCTCGGGTATTTCAGATAAGATACTCAACATGTATTCACCAGGTTATTTTCTAGGGTTAGAGAAAAAGTCATGATTTCTCAGTATTACTGAATCCTTTTGTCATGAAATAAATTTAATAATTAGAGCATTCATCCATTCATCAGAAAGTAGCAACATTGCATTGTTAATGTGTTGTTTATACAGAAAACTCGGAAGACTTGACAATATCAGTGAATGAAAACTCTTAGGAAAACCCCCATTTGCCCTTTCCAGGCTCCTTTTCTTGGAAATGAAATTAACTTGTTATATATCAATCTTTATACACAATTTTACACATCTTGGCATTTAAAGCATTCTTCACAGTTTTATAATATATTCCTGCTTTGAAAGGCAAAGCAAATGTAAAATATGAATGCAAGGAAACCAATCACTGGCCTTGATACTTTTTATTAAAGAGTCTCAGTAATTTAATACTATTTTCACTTCTGAATGAAGCATGTAGGCTTGAACTTGTGCTTTTTCAAGAAGTACCTCTTTGGAATTGTACAACTGCACTTTTCATTGAGTGCTAAATAACTGGTTCTACAAAACAATAAAAACCTTAAACTCTAGGGGCTGGAGAGATGGCTCAGCAGTTAAGAGTACTGACTGCTCTTGCAGAGAACCTGGGTTCTATTCCCAGCACCCACCCACATGGCAGCTACGAGCCATCCTTAACTCCATTGCACAACACTAGTGCACTCACAAACATTCAGGCTGAACCATCTTTATCAGCGGTATCCAGTACTTCTGATTATGTCTACCTACCTCTTGAAGACTGCCATTGTGTGAAGTAAACTAATCAGACTTTGAGTTGTGACATGTGTTTTTCTGGAAACATTCCTTACTAGGTTCTTGATTTTGCAAACATTTTGTCCAAGTCTGACTTTGTTCTTGTTACCGTAGCAATTATGTAAAAGTTAAATTTTCAAGAAGCTCCATTTCTTTTAGTTTTGGGTTTGGTGTCAAAACTTGGAAGCTGGTCAAATCCATTATCAGGAAATTTGCTCCTAAGCCTTACTATTTGAGATCAACAGAGTCATTGAACATTATCTTGTGCAGATATTTTTCTAGTTCAGGTTCCTTGAGCTTGAATTTTTTAGAATCAGTTTCTACAAATAAGTTACGATGCTACTAAATCATTAACATAGGAAGTGGTTCCATTTTAACAGCATAAACTTGAGAAGCTGATTACTATGAGCGTTAACTGTAAATTTAAATAAACCTGCATTTCTCAGCCTTTAGTAATGAAGCTACAATTCTGTTTGATTTTTTTTTTTAAGTCTGATAACCAAGCCAAACTGCAGTATTTATATTTATCCTTTTGTTGAGTGGCTAACTGGTTACTCCTAAGGCTGAATGAATAATGGTGCTTATATGTACATGTTAAGTTGTGAACAGTGTTGCAGTGAATGAACATAGCTAAAATCCAGCTTGACTAAAAACGTGAATGTTCTAAATAACCCGTTTTATTTATAGTGATGATGATGATGATTTTGATGATGAGGAAACAGAAGAAAAAGCTCCAGTGAAGAAAGTGAGTACATTATGTTGTCAAAAAAAGGAACCGCAACAGAATTGAGTTTATCTGTGCTAGTAGTAAAAACTGTCTTACAAGATAATCAACTACTGAGATTTGGTCCTAAGATAGAATTGACTGAAAATTTTATTAAGTTAGAAATGTATCCCCCAATGTTTATGTGACCTACAATTTGTTGCTTTTCTTATGGTGGTTTGGGGCTGGAGTTTGATTATCTGGAGATGCAGTACTGATCAAAGTAATCTCTTAATTGCAGTCTATCCGAGATACTCCAGCCAAAAATGCACAAAAATCAAACCAGAATGGAAAAGACTTGAAACCATCAACACCAAGATCAAAAGTAAGTAGCAACAAATATGGAAAACAAACTTCATTGAAGTCCTTAGGAAAAATTGAGGAAATTCTTTGGAAAGATATATAGTTTGCTCACAATTTAATGGGTGTTTTGGAGAATTTAACCCTGGCTGCATATTTAGAATGTAATTCTTAAGACCTTTAAAATTTTTTCCTAGGGTCAAGAATCTTTCAAAAAACAGGAAAAAACTCCCAAAACGCCAAAAGGACCTAGTTCTGTAGAAGACATTAAAGCAAAAATGCAAGCAAGTATAGAAAAAGTAAGTGGATTGATCTTTTGCCACGTTTCAAATTGTACTTCTGTGGGTTTGGATAAGTGGTTTTCACTGTTTGAAAAGGGATTTATAAGAAGGTTAATGCATACTCTTTCACATTCTGATCTGACAACACCGGCTGCGCTGGTTCTTTAGCAGAACCACCAGAGGGCGTTTTGAGTCTTCAATAAAATTGAAAACAGCTGGAAAAGGGAGGAGAGTCTGGCTGCATGAAAATGTACTTGATGCAAAAACTAAGCATTTTCTGGCAAAATTTTGAATCATTTCTACCTGCCTTTTACCTGTCAGTACATTTGGTGCATTTGGTAGTAACTTGAATTAGTGTATATCAGGTTTGCATCTAATTTTAAATACAATTACTAGAACATAAGGATTTATGTACCTCTGTTTAACCACTTGGCTGGGACTAAAACTTCATGACAAAATAATCAGTTAACATGAAGAATAGCAGATTTTCTCAATTGTGACTCCAAGATCCCAGTTATTAGGGATCAATGGGATAGTGAGGAAAAATTGTCCATTTCCTGTGTCCTGTAGGCCTCTACATGGCTTCAGGGGATTCCTTTGTGCACCCAGGAGTGGATTAGAAAATTTAACATTTCGGTGATAGTGTATCTATTTGACTTTTTCACACTGAACTTTTCTGCCTTCCTATTGGCACTGATTTATTTAATCCCTTGCATACAATGCTAAATGATGCCCCTCCCCCCATTTTAATATGGTCCTATCTCCTTGGTTTAATTGCAGGCGCATTGAACAGTCCTGGGCACTACTGGTAAATTAAGCCCAAAGATGGGGAAAGAGGAAAAGGAGAAACAAATATAGTCCATACTGAGTACCATCAACAATCCAGACTGAAGTCTTCTATTTTAATCTCAATCCCCTTTCCTGATTGCCACCCATACCCCCTTGCAGGCTGGAAGCACTCTTGATGTCCTAAAGCAGTTTTCTTTGACTTCTGTGATTCAGTGAACTCCTTTCTACTACTTGTTACATATACCTCATCTTTGAACATGTTTTAATTATCTTTGTATCTCCTTAGCCACTCAATAAATATTTGAATGAATGAAATAAGGATGTTATGTGACAATAATTTAATGGAAATTACTGTAGTTTTTTCTAGGTGATGGAGGCAATTAAGTATCTTAGTACTTAGACCTGGTTCTGGCATAGTTCCTTTGGCATTTGGAAGCCTTTCTAATCTTGGTGATCAGGAGGCAAGAAAAAAACTAAAATTTAGTCAAAATAAAAATGGTGCACTTGATAGACAAAATGAGTGATAAGTCTATACTGGTAAATTTTAAGGTGGTGGTAATTGTAATGTCTCAAGATTCTTAGGTATTGTTGATATTGTTTATATTCTTTGCCTATCTTCATAATTAAATAAATGCCAAATTTGAGTTACAGTTAGTAAAGTATAGCTGCTATTAGTCTTATCCCTATTTATACCTCCTGGATTGGTTCTCAGATTAGTAGTGTTATCCTAGGCTTTTGGTAAATACAAAATGTTCTTTAAACAGGTTGGATTACTTGACATGGCCTCAAGTGGGGCCACATACAATATACATGTATATGTGCGTTGACTTTGGTTTTGGGTGGTAGAACTGACTTGTATTAGATGGATAGGCATCCAGTTGCCATGTTTACATGCTTGTAGAATAGTCCTCACCTTAAAATTTTTTTTTTTTTTTTTTTGTGAAACTGAGTCTTGTAGCCAAGCTGGCCTTGATTTGATCTCAGAGATCTGCCTGCCTTTGCTCTGTTTTACTTACTAGTATTTTTGGTCTTGTTGAGACTGGGTCTCCCGCTAGTCTCAGCTAGCTGTCCTGGAACTCCTGGAACTATATAGACCAGTCTGGCCTTGAACTCAACATAGATCCTCCTGCCTCTACCTCCCAGGTGTTGCTATTAAAGACATTTGCCACCACAGCTGGTGACATTTGAGGTTTTTAATGAAAAAGTTGGGCAAGTTATGAACTACATGTAACAGCATGCAAGGAATTTCCTAATGGTATCTCTCAAAACTATTTCCATTCTTGGCTTTTAATGATGTTTTTTTCCTTAATAGGGTGGTTCTCTTCCCAAAGTGGAAGCCAAGTTCATCAATTATGTGAAGAATTGCTTCCGAATGACTGACCAGGAGGTAACTAAATTTTCTGGGGACATAACCAAATCCAACATTTTTATTAGGATTTGATTATGAATCTCTTCACTACTAAGTCTTAAGTTTGCTGGCTCCTTTTAAAAAGGTCCTAGCCACAGGCAATATTTACATACATGGAAACTCAAAAAGAATTTAATTGGGAGACAGAAGATGACTTTTAATCATTCTCTACCCCAGCTTTTAAATAGTTTAAATGATCTCTTGGCTATTTTGAACTTAGTTTTACAAAAGCTCAAGTTTGTTTGCTAAGGAAACAATGGAGTTTGCCTTGCTCCATTCGGCTGCTTCAGGCAGTCTGATACTTGCTTTCTTGGGACCTTTGTTACCAGGCCCAGTTGAAAGCCTATTTTCAAGCACCAGGGTGAAATCCCTGTAGTAGTAAATGGTGAATGTTAGTTTATAGCTTGGTTTAGTGTTAAAAGGCCAAGTGGAACATAGCCAATAAGTACTAAATTTTATAAACAAATTCTGGAAAATTGAAGAAATGCAGATTAGGGAAATAGAATTAAAGATCAATTTAAATACATCTCATTTATTTTTGAAAAGAGCTGATGAAGAATAACACTTCTATATTTTCATTTGCTGACCAGCAATTGCTGATCTCTAGGCTGAGTTTGAGGCAACATTGGTTAGACTGGCTCTATTCTTCACCCCCCTTTACTTTATTCCTTAAGCTGTTCAATAACACTAGTATAATAAACCTCATACTATGATCAGAAGTTCAAATGTAAATTACCTTGGAATTAGTTATCTAGAGCAAACTTTGTTGATTGAATGAAAAATTAACTGAAGAAATTTATTGGCTTCTGAGAAAAGTTAAAAACCTTTTAACTAGTTTTTTCCCCTTCGTTTCAGGCTATTCAAGATCTCTGGCAGTGGAGGAAGTCTCTCTAAGAAAATAGTTCAGACTGTTTGAAAATACTCTGTCGTCTTACTTCGTTTCTGTAACAGTTGATACCTGGTTGTTCTTTTTATAATGCAAAGTGAGAACTTCCCCTACCGTGTTTGATAAATGTTGTCCAGGATTCATTGCCAAGAATGTGTTGTCTAAAATGCCTGTTTAGTTTCTAAGGATGGAACTCCACCCTTTACTTGGTTTTAAGTATGTATGGAATGTTATGATAGGCTGTAGTAATGGTGGTCAGACATGGAAATGGTGGGGAGACAAATATACATGTGAAATAAACTCAGTATTTTAATAAAGTAGCACTGTTTCTATTTACTTTTAACTGTTTCATACTTTGAAGTTAAAATTGTCATTGTTCTCATTCCAGCCCCCTTCTAAACTGACCAGAACTTGACTGGTTTTTCTTGGTGATTCAGTGTTCACATTGCCACCTGCTGACCAATAGCTAACAACCATGCAATGCAAACTTGATTACAAATGGTCCATCAGCCCTATCTAGTCTCGCTTCCCAAAGAGAGTTTGTGTTGAAACTGTCTAGAAGTCTTAATCTGGGTCCTTCATCTGAACAGAAATAGAAAAAGACAGGTAACAAAAAGGCAGAAAAAGTTTTAGTGTCTGTCTGTCTTGGCATCTGTTCTACCTATTGCGTTTCCCCTGAGTTCTTGTTAAAACTTGAGGCTTAAGTCTTTACAGTTTTGTATTTTTTTAATTTCATAAACAGTATTTTGAGTGTGTCCATATTTGGGGATTGAGATTATGAAGTTGTCCAGAGGTAATAGTATTTTGGAGTGAGGAAAGGTCTATTACCAGTGTCAAACTTCCCTAGTCTAGGTTAAATTAAACTTCTCCACCCCAACCCCTTTTTACTAGGGGTGTGTGTGTGTATGTATATACACAATGAGCATCATTTACATACAATCACAATTTGTTTTTAAATTCTTAGGTAAAGACAAAGTTTTACTAAAGATTAGCTCTACATACCAAAATGTGCTAATTTTTTGCATAAAGAAATCTTATCTGTAATAATTGTAGGGTGATTGTCAATGCTGAGAACTCAAAAAATGCATAGGGCCATCTAAATTGGGAATACATACTGTCCTAATTCCAAGTCAAAAATCAGCAATAGCAATTTCTTTTTTTTTCTTCCGGTCTTTTTGAGATGGGGTTTCCCTGTAGCCCCTGCTGCCCTGGAACTCACTATGTAGACCAGGCTGGCCTGGAACTCACAGAGAACCCCGCCTGCCTCTGCCTCTGGAGTGCTGGGATTAAAGGCGTGACCCACCACGCCTGGCTTAAACGTTTTAACAATCCAAAGATAAATTAACTTTATGGGTCCCCTCCAGATAACAAATACACGGGATTGGAGATGTAAAAATTAAGCAGAGTCTTTACTTTTTAGCCGGCTGGGGTTGACCGGTTTTCTAAGACATGTAAGTCTGGTCAGAACGATCGACCCCCATTTAGTTTCAGGTACAGATTATATAGGCCCATATAGTCATTACACAAAAAGCATTCCTCAGCAGACACTTTGATTAAACATCTTTTAAAAGCTATAGTTTTGGTTAAACATCTTTTCTAGGAAGGCTAGATCTGGTGTAAGCCTGGTGTAACTTCTTTTTTTTTTTGTTCTTTATCGGTTATCTGGTATGTGCAAACAGGCCTACAGGACACATTGTGAATCAACTGAGTCTGGGGTCCAGGGTCTAGGGTCCAGGAAGGAGGTTTACAGCACTTTAATTCTTAGCATTTCAACTAGGTTAATCATCCATGTGTGGTAGATACAAATCAGGCAGAACAGGCAAGCTTAGCAAGTAAATCTAAATCAACATTTTAAACAGTTTTCTATCAAAATGTAGAGTTTTTATAGCATTTATCAAGGTATTTTATAAGTGGATTATGTCTTAGCAAAGATCTTTTGGATGTAGTTACCTGCAGCATAGACACCAGTTCACTGTTCCTTGGCTGGATGTTGCATGGTGTGATGGTATGTGCAATGCAAAGTGAGCATTTGACTACTGCTTCCTTACTTTGAAAAGTTGTACACGGCTTGTTGGAAGGGCAGACTAAAGATTTCAGTGCCTGAAAACTAAACAGCTAACTAGGTGACTGGGCTTGTAACTGCACAGCAAGCTGCTGCTAATACCTATCAGTTCAGCTGCTTTAACTTTTAATATGAGGCATTTGCATGTAAGAACTAGAGGTCTTAGGCCAGAGAGTAGGGTGATGTGGATAGTGTGACATAGGCTATCATCTACACAAGCTAGTACCTGAATTTTACTTAAAAGGATAGAATTACTAATAATTTCCTAGGCTATGGGCATTTAAGAGATGGATCAGAATTACAGAAATAGAGGGTTAAAGTCAATCTCCTGGCCTTTTTTTTTTTTTCTGATAGGGCAATAGAAGCTTCAAGTTTTGCTTAGAAGTTCCAAGAGTTGGTTTTGAGAACTTCATCTGTGCTAAGGATCCATGTTTTCTACCAAATTAAATTTCTGACTGACCTTAGGTTCTTGGGTGAGATCACCCATCTTTTTTTGTCTTTACGTTATTTGTATCCAACAGACTGAAGCATAGTCTTTCTAGTCAGAATGGAAAACAGTGAAAAATGTCATTTACCTGCTGTTTACTCAAATGATGGGATAAAGAGAATATCAACTGTCAAAACATAGTGTCTCAAAGTTCATTATAGGTTTTTGTTGGTTTTTGAGACAAGGTCTTCCTGTAGCCCCAGGCTGGGCCTTGATTTTACAGAGACCCTCATGAGTGCTGGGATTAGAGGCTTGTGCCACCATGCTGGGTGGTGCTTGGGAATTAGTTAAACCAAGCAGTTAAATCTTCTGCAAGGGTTTACATTTCATTGGGTTACCATAACTCAAGGCCAGATTTTTACTTCTGTAGAGTAGGAATTGAATGGAGGCTTGAGATTCCAGCACCAGGTGAGCACATGACCACTTAGTCCATGGGACCACTATTGGAGACCTTGCGCAGATGGGTGCAGCGGTTAGATTGCTCTAGTTTTGTTCTGAGAGCATCCAACCTAGGCTCACAACATGCTACCACTGAGCTACAGTGCCTGTCCTCTTAGGAGTACCTGACTTGATTTTGACTTTAAAAGCTGGTGGTAAGTGGTTAAAGGCATTAACGTACATATTGGCAACAGATGATTAAAACACTAGGGGAATCCAATGGAATGTGAAAGACCAGTGGTGGAGGTGAGATTGAGAAGGTGCGTGCAGATAAATGTTTGCTAACTGAATTAAACAGAGTATGGACAGTCCGTTAAAAGTATCCACTAATTTTCCTACAAAGGCCTGCCTACAAGGCAGTGAGCCTGTTTAACTGTCACTACCACATCCCGGGGGAATGCCTCCCATTTTAGGCACTTGTCATTTTTTTCCCCTAGAAAATTTGCTCTGTGTGGCTGGTCATGTCTTGGTCCTAGTGTTCGTGTTACCAAGGACATTGGACCTACCTTTCTGTAGTTCTGAGGGGTGGAGAAGCAGAATGAGGTGGTCCATTGCCCACAGGAGCACTTCTGAGTTCATCTGAGTTTGAAGCCTGCCTGGTGTACATGAGTTCCAGGCCAGCTAGGGCTACAGGTGAGAGCCTGCTTCAAAACTAAGCATTTAGGTCTTTTAGACGTGTTTATGTGGATGAATGTGTGGGGGAGGAGGGGGGCACGCACAGTGTGCGGTGTGGCACATACGTGGAGGTCAGAAGACAACTTTTTGTGCTCTCCTGCATTACATGGGCTCCACGGATCAAACTTAGGTTGTCAGGCTTGTGCAGCAAGCATTTTACCCACAGAGCCACCTTACTGGCTCTAAATCTTTAAAATGTATGTATGTATGTAAGTGCACTATGGGTGTACAGTGTCCACACAGGCCAGAAGAGGGTGTTGGATCCCCTGGACCTGGAGTTACAGTTGTTGGTTGCCATACCAGTGCTGGAGTTTGAACCCAGATGCTCTGCAAGAACAACAGCAAGTGTTCTTAGCTCAGCCATCTTTCCAGCCCCCCCCCCTTTTTTTTAAGTTAGGACCTGGTCTTTCACCTAGGGCTGACAACACGATAGACTTTTGTTAAAACAACAATGGAATAAGTTATCAAGTTTGTGGCATATATACTAAGTTCCATATAAACACCTAAAAGTATGTATTTAAGGTTGGTACACTTGGTCTAGAGTATATTGCTAATGCCTATGTGAGTGGCTGAGAAGAATGTTAAATATTAAGCTAAATTCGAAGTCAAAAGATCCTGTTGATGTTTCAACTAAGGAATGGTTTTAGCTACTTCATGAAATTGTAAGAGTAATGTGAAGACTAGAATTATGGTTATTAGCCACCAAAATATTTGATTGTCTTGACTGTGTAAGTCTGATCTCAGTAGTACTCGGCAAATCTGAACTGTATTTTGTAGGCAAGGAAGCAGTCTCAGACTATCTTGGGATTTATAAGTAAATGTTGGAGGAAACATTAAAATCCAGAACCTGTGACTAAAAGATATATTTGTGTGTACCTGGTGTGTTGTGGGTGCCAGAAGAGGCCATCAGATCCCCTTGGAGCTGGAGTTGCAGGTGGTTGACAAGCCTCTCCACCTGGGTGCTTGGAATAGAGCATCAGTCATCTGCAAGAGCAGCCGGTGCTCTTAACTGTTGAACTGTATTTCCAGCCCCTCCTTTTCCTTGGTTCATCGGTCCACAGAATTTAGGAAGTTAATAACTTAGCAAGAGCAGCTCCAGCAATTGAAACTCTACAATACCAGCAGTCATGCAAGAACTTTCTCCATCTTGAAGCAGCACCTGGTTTTGCAAAAGTTTTCAGCACTTGTCTTTAGGGCTGTTCGAAAAGGAACTTAAAATAGCTTTCAGGGAGGTCTCATATGTAGTTTATAAATAATATCACCGAGCAGCACCTTCCTCACTTTATTTATACTCTATTAATTAAGCTCTATTTATTATTATGCTCTAATTATTAACCTAATCGTTTTAAAAAATGTCTTTAAACAAAATGATTCGAATTCCTGAGTTTTGAAACATTTTTCTTGCCCGTTGATGACAGCTTGGCTTGTAGACCGAGTAAGCAGACTTGTGACAATATCTACATTTTAGGTTAATGGAAGGACAGAAAGTTTCAGGTTGGTGATCCAGTCCGTGAGGCAGGAAATTTCCCTATCTTGAGAGGGTCCTATCAAAGGAAACAAGCTTAGCATGAAAATCTTACCCTGGCTTTCAGGGGAGCCCTGAAGGGCTTGGAGTGGTCGCTGACCAGAGTCCTGGCTACTATCGGGCATGTTGCCCACGGGCTGGGGTTGCATCCACGCTTTGGAACCACTAGGTGGTAGCCGTGTGTTTCCAAAACGGGGTCGCCTATTGGAGAGCGCCGCTGGAATCCCTAGAACCGACCCAAGAGTCCCAGAGCGGGGGAAGGGAGAGAGGCGCCCCTGAGCCCTCCCCGCCTCCGGCGGCAGGAATAGGAAGAGAAAGCTTCACTTAGCGTGGCCATCCATCAGAAGGTTGTCTGGGAAAACCCAAAGTCGTGCGTAGCCTCAGGAAGGATAAACGCGACCCCCTTCAGTTGTGCCACTCCAGGGATTGGGCCTGGTTCGCCCTCTCCCAGCTCCCCAAAGCTGGTGGGTGTGGGTGCGAACGGCGAATGTGACGGAGGGAGGAAGGGAGGGCACCCTGCACCTATCTGCATTCTTTGGGACTCTCGCCTGCCCAATTCAGCCAACATTTGCGCTGCGGCGCGGGTCGGTGCGCCGTGGCGCAGGGCTCCGACGGCTTCCAGCGCACACTAGCCCCAGCTTCGCGGGCTCTGCCCCTTCGGAGCGGCCGGTCCGGTCGCCGGAGTCCTGAGTGCCTCCCCTACAAGCCGGAGCCGCCAGGAGAAGGAGGAGGCAGTGGAGAGGCCGCGGCGGGCAGGCAAGCAGGCAGAGTCGCCTTTGATGTGGGCGCGGCGCACCCAGGCGAGCTGAGCGCCCGTCCGGCCGCGCCCCGAGGGGGGAGCCCCCGGGCCCCGCATCCTCATTGTGCCGGCGCGGGTTCGGACCCGCCCCCGGCCCCCCGCCCCCTCGCCGCCCGCGCTTAGAAAACGCCCCGGCCGCCGCCAGCGGTGGGAGGCGGCGATGCGCACGGCCGGAGAGACGCGGAGGAGGAGACATGAGCCGGCGGGCGCCCAGACGGAGCGGCCGTGACGCGTTCATGCTGCAGCCGCACTCCCCAGCCCCGGAGCGCTGACCCCAGCCGGGTGCAGCCCCGCGCAGCCCCGCGCAGCCCCGCGCCCCGGCCACGGCTCCCCAGCCTGCGTCCCCGTCGCGTATGCCGCCCCTGGATTGAGCCGGCGGCCCGCAAACCCCCCAGACGGACGGCCGGCCAGCCAGCCGTGCGCCAGCTTCCCGGCACCGGCCGGGCGCCCCGCAGCCCCCGCTCCGGCTCGGAGGGCGCAGCGCTCGGGAGGA